CAGCTACTGTTGGACTAAACACACGAATCACCGGCGACTCAAACCTACAACAGTTTGGCAAGCGAGGGGATGAAAACGATTGGCCTGTGGTATCCATGTGTGCGTGGCGTAATGTGTGCGTGGCAGTGCAAACTGCTATAAGAAGCTGTGCTGCTGTTTATGTCTATAGCATACATAATCAGCCAGTGGCGCCCGCAGATAGAAGCACTGGAAGCACAGTGCTTCCAGTAAATTTTGGGTTAAAGACTCTACATTTTGTTCCTAAATCTCTCTCGCAAGACTCACCAGATTGCATCTCCAGACGTCTACCATTCAAAAAATTTTCAGGGGGGCATGCCCCCAGACCCCCCTAGCATGCAGCACCGGGCCACGCCTGCTTTTTATTATCACTGAGGATTTTATCCTTCTGTGCTTCTACTTTCTTAAGACCTGTGGACGCCAGTGTAATCAGCTATTCAACAGCTTGCTGTAGATAAGGTAGAATGCCTTTCAATGTTTCGGTATATGGCATGCATACGTCATTTTCTACAGGTTGGTTTATGTGTGAACTCAAGTCTAAAATTTAATATTCGAGCAGTTGAATCACAGCTCCTAGTTATGGCTTTGAACCTGAATTTAATGGCAGCACGTATTTACTAGGGTACATCAAACATTCCGTGATCGTAAGACATGACTGTGCTACATCACAGTACATTGTAGAAGAAATAATGTTTGTGAAGTCGAAATTTTGGTGTGATATATCAGTAAATTGTTTCCAATTCCTACCAGATCTATCATGTGGACATGAGGTTGACTCTGAATGGTGTCGACCTTTAAACATAATTTGTTTAAGATTTGCCTATCTGTAATAACGTTATGGTTGCAAACTGCTACTATGGCTCACAATTTTTATATAGGAAACTGGAAGAATCCAAGTGACATTTTAAAGCAGTTGTAATGCTAATTTTGAGCTATAATCATATCTGATCCCCTTGTTTCTATTGTAACCATTTATATACATCAATAGGATAAGCTAATAGCATTTACCGCTTACATCTGTTTGCTTGAATTGCAATTGAATGGAAAAAGTTGCAAGCATTTCATTATTATGCACTGTATATGAACAAATGCTGGTCGTTAATTGCATGCAGAGATAAAAACAAACACAATATATAACAACACAATTCTAGCAACTCGGGGAGCAGTAAATTATGCATGCAAAAACAGTTGGGCCATTCTTAATTGGCGAGCTCAATTGCCCAATATCACTGAGTGAGACACGGGAGATAATCAAGTGAAACAAGGGTGGCGCTGCTATCCTTAACAGCTCTATAGATGGCGCTGTCTGCAATCTGCGATAACTTTCCACCCTGTATGGATGAACTTCACAGTAGTATTCAGGAGTCTTGGACGGTGCTCCACATCATTGCCGTGCACCGCTGTCCTCGACACTCTCCCATCGATGCCTTCCTTGGCACTTCGAGACAGACCTGTAAGGTGTGTCATTGTCACCAGTACCCAGTATTGAGTGCAGCCGCTTTGCTCTGCACGGCTTTGAGCCACTCGCTGTAGCAGGCATGCCCACTCTTAGGGGGCACCACCACTCACGTACATACACCCACAGTAGTGGCAGCCAGGGGGCACCACCGAACCGACTGTCCCTCGGATGTGTCGTTGTAGTCGCGCTTGTGCACGCACGTGCGCAATGGCCGTGGCCAGGGGGCGCCCCCACTCAACAGCGTGACGGTCCCTCCAGCGTGTCGCTGTAGTCGTGCTCGCGCACGCACGCGCGCAGTGGCCGTGGCCAGGGGGCACCCCCACTCAGCAGCGTGACGGTCCCTCCAGCGTGTCGCTGTAGTCGTGCTCGCGCACGCACGCGCGCAGTGGCCGCGGCCAGGGGGCGCCCCCACTCAGCAGCGTGACGGTCCCTCCAGCGTGTCGCTGTAGTCGTGCTCGCGCACGCACGCGCGTAGTGGCCGCGGCCAGCCCGCATCGTCGTCGTCGTCGTCGACAACGCCCGGCAACCGGCTGAGGGCAGCCGCACGCGCCGCGAGACACTGCAGCTTGAAGTTGGTGGTGCAGCGCACCTTGTGCTCGACGTCGTCGATGAGCCAGCCGATCTGCTGAATGTAGGTCGCGTGCCGCGTCGAGTTGCCGCTCCACACGTCGGCCGGGTCGGCGGCGAGCGCGCGCTCGTGGAACGCGCGCCAGGCGGCGGCGCGCCGCGGTGGTAGCCTTGAGGTCGCCGCGAGCGCTCGCTGCACGCTGCGCAACGCGTCCAACATGTCCGCGCCGCCGAACGGCATCGCCGCGAGACGCGCGCACAGACGCTCGATGCCATCGCCGGCGGCAACAGCGGCATCGGCGTTGTACTCCGTGGCTAGGCTCACATCCATGATGAGTGGCGTGAGATCGCTCTGAGAGAAGATCGCTGTGAGAGAAGATCGCTCTGAGAGAAGATCGCTCTGAGAGAAGATCACTCTGAAAGAAGATCACTCTGAGAGAAGATCGCTGTGAGAGAAGATCGCTCTGAGAGAAGATCGCTCTGAGAGAAGATCGCTCTGAGAGAAGATCGCTGTGAGAGAAGATCACTCTGAGAGAAGATCACTCTGAGAGGCTGCGCTTGCGAGAGGCATGGTCGTTACGACGCGTGCAAGCCGATTTCCGATGGAAAACAAAAGCGAAGGATGCAATCGTGTGTCAACGCATCCGCGGCGGGCAGCGGCGAGGCAGTGGTCACGCGCGCGGGGATTGAGGCGAGGTGTGGCGCCCTCTGGCGATGCGAGGTTTCGGTCGAGGGTCGTCTCTTTGGTATTCTCGTTGTATCATGCGTCGGAGCCCCGGAGTCTGCGACCTGTGAGTGAAGAAAGCACGAGCGTACTCAGCTACAGAATGCTCTATTGCTATGTGGCACAAACTGACTGACGTAAATGTCGGTCTTCTTGATGAATCGCGGGATAGTCACACTACCCTGCACAACCACACACCACTGCGCACTGCGCTTTGTGCTATTAATATTATTACTACAATAAATATTAGTCGCGAATCAACTAAAAGTTTTTTTTACCTCAAGTAATAATCGGTACCTATATATTATAGGCTCCCTAGTTAATCTGTTGGGTTTCTTTGGAACCACGTCGCTTGTAGCTTGTATAGTATGGCTATTATTCTTTACGGACTGTCCAGTATAGAAGTAGAAGTAGAAGAAGAAGAAGTATACATTACAAGCGTGAATTGTGGCCACCAAGCTAATATTTTGGTCTAACGTATGGATCGAATCTTGTAAATATTTTTTGCGATAACCTGACTCCTTACTAACGCCGTGCATAAACTACTAAAGTTGTCATACCATTTTGACATTGTGTACAAACAACTTTCGCAGTCACATGATATTCATGTGCTGATCTTACTGGGTATTGCTACTCGTACTTACGATCGACTACTTGATGGCATATTTCGTTTGTTGAGTTCACTTCCTACATACACGAATGATCCCTACGCGATGTAAGACGGGCTACAGAGCAGGTTGCTCTACGGTTGCGTCGTTGCAGAAAAACGAACGCGGGACAGTCTACACGCGCCCCGAAACTGTGCTGGCAGTGGCTGGCATCCTCGTTCAGCAGTCAACAGAGACTCTCATTGGTTGAACTTTCGTTCATCACTCACGTGTGTTTATTTTGGCTGGTGGATTCAAGTATAAAGATCATGTTCATGGGGTAGGGGTGCACGCATGCTAGTGAAGGCTGGCAAGGGGGCGGGGGCGGGGGCACAATATGCTGTGATGAAATGATGCTATGAAAAGCAGACGTCGTAAACAGAAATCAGACGTGGGCTTAGCAATCCCAGCAGGGTCCGCTTAGTTATATAGCGGTAATAATGTATAGAAAAGTGGTTTCTGCTTTGTTGGGACAGAATTAGATACAATAATGTAACCCAAACCCAAGAGGATAGGTGTATCCTATCCCCCCTATACCCTATATCGGATATAGGTGTATCCTATACCCCCCTATCCTCTTGGGTTTGGGTTACATTATTGTATCTAGGACAGAATGTACTACGGATTACACTGCATATGCCATATTTTTCGCGTACAGATATTTTCGCGAATTCAGACTTGACGAACAATTCCGCGAGTGGTTAATTTCGCGGTTGGTGAATTATGAATTATTCGATATTATTCGTGTGCTGTTATTTTCGCGGTCGGGGACGCGTTCGCGAAATTCGCGAAATATACAGCGTATACAGTAAGCGGTGGTGGGCGAAGCAGCACGCGTTAGGATTGTTTTTCGAACACGTGTGCGTTAATAAGCGATGCACCCGTTTATCCGAGGACTGATAAAGTGGGGAGCACAGTATAATGTTCTTGTTCAGGGTTCCGCTTTCTTAATCAGTTTCTTGTCATTGCAGGAAAAAAGACATTGGCGGAGATATATTTATTTGTGGATTAACTATGCACTATTCGAGGAATTAGTGGCAGACGACGGAGAAAAAACACGACAGGTATATGTCCGGCTTATTATTATTTTCTGTTGCATGTAGGCCTACTTACATTAAATTCTGTGCACATGGCACACGAATTTTATAAACAAATGTATTTTCGTCCGTTTTTGTCCAGAAATCAGATAAAAAATAGAATCTAGGAAGCTGTTAACATTTTTCTTTTTTTTATCTGCAATAGTTCTATTACAGCATATTATTACATTTTGGACTGTTTTTAAGGAAATTACAACGTGATTACATAATTATGCATATAATGCTTGACTCGAGTGACTTAAACTCATTTGCTTTGGTGTTACTCACCTTTTATGGCTAAAACTCGCAACAAAAGTTTGATTTTTTGGGAATGCTCAGCATGTTACTAACTCATTCCCAACAGCCACATGCAAGCACATTTATTATGTCTGTGTGCATGTATATAACAAGAGTCTTAAAACATTTATATCAGGTATAAGTCAGTGGCGTAGTTAGGGGGGGGGCCAAAGGGGGCCATGCCCCCCCCCCATTGATCCGAAAGTTAAAAAAAATAAAATAAATATGAATTGTTCTACTAAAAAGAGAATTGTCGTAGTCATAATGAAGGCTGTACATGTACTCAAAAGTGCCTCAAATACCATTTCCTACGATCTACATTTTCAAAATTTTCTAGGGGAGGGCCCCCATTACCCCGCCTGTTTTTCACCCCCCTGCCTTCGAATCCTAGATCTGCCACCGAACAATTACAGATCTTGGGAGCAGAGAACAACGAATAAAAATGTCGCCTTTTCGCATGGTGCCCAAAACAAAGATTGCAGAGCTGAGAGGTAGGGGAGCGTAGGGTGTGGAGAGGGAGGCGGAGGAACCATTAAAATATTAAGTCATCCACTATTTTGCGCAGTTCGCTGGTTTTGCCCCCCCCCCCCCTATTGAAAATTCCTGGCTACGCCACTGGTATAAGTGAAATGTAAACTAGCCGCATGTGGTATCATAATGGTTTAAAAAGCGTACACATCATCAATGGTTGTTTTTCTTTGACTACGTGCAATTTTGTGAGAGGTGGTTGGTGTTGTTGTTACCTTCATACAGTTGTACCAATTTATTGATTATTGGGGTTTGGTGCCAGGTCTCTATAGTTGTACCAACTCAATGTTTATTGATGTAGTTAATTGTTACTTCTATATAATATAGCTGTATCAAATGATTGATTATTGTGATTGTTACCTATATATAGCTGTTTTAAGTCATTGATGATTGACATTGTGGTTACTTCTATATAGCTGTACCAAATGACTAATTGCAGTTGTTCTTACCTCTCTCTCTGTAGGTATACAAAGCATGTTTGGATCTTATTCCACATAAGCGGTTCACATTCGCCAAAATGTGGCTCTTGTTTGCCCAGTTTGAAATTCGGCAAAAAGAACTCCAAACTGCACGCAAGATACTGGTATGTACTGCTAGAATTCCAACTATTTAGCAAGATGGCATCTTTTAGCAGTGTCCTACAATTTCTAAATTATTTGACGGACTACAAAATTTACTTCTCACCTGCACGTTTTTCTAAACTTGTTTCGTTTGCAGTAGGAGTTTGAGGAAAGAATACATTTTTCAAAAGAAGTGGTTGTTTGAAGAAATTTATGACAAGGGAAATTTCGAAAGAATTCAATTTCTCCGAGAAAAGGAATTCAACCTCCTTAAATATAAATTATGACTGCACATGTTTTTACCTGCCTATTTTACCCTCATGCGTATTTTGACCTCACATGTATTTTGACCTCGCACGTGTATGTTGACTCTTGTAGTGTGTGTTTTGCCATCATGCTAATTTTGCCCTCACGTGTATTTTGACGTAGTTTGTACTTTGACCTCATGCTGTATTTTTTCCTCACGTGTATTTTTACGTAGTGTGTACTTTGACCTCGCGCTGTATTTGTCCCTCACGTGTATTTTGGCATCATGCCTGTTTTGACGTTGCACGTTTCCTTCTCGCCCGCAGGGAATGGCGATCGGCCGATGCCCGAAGGACAAGCTGTTTCGCGGCTACATCGACCTAGAGATTCAGCTGCGGGAGTTCGAGCGATGCCGCATCCTCTACGAGAAATTCCTCGAGACGGGACCGGAGAATTGCACGACGTGGATCAAGGTTCGTATATGGCATAGTAATGTTCATATGGGAATAGTAGTCGTTATCATTATCATTCATCTGTAGCAGTCCTGTTATGGCGCATCGGTTATTGCATCACGTGGATCACGGTTCGTATATGGCATAGTAATGTTCATATGGGAGTAGTAGTCGTTAGCATTATCATTCATCTGTAGCAGTCCTGTTATGGCGCATCGGTTATTGCATCACGTGGATCACGGTTCGTATATGGCATAGTAATGTTCATATGGGAGTAGTAGTCGTTAGCATTATCATTCATCTGTAGCAGTCCTGTTACGGCGCATCGGTTATTGCACCACGTGGATCACGGTTCGTATGTGTGGGCGTGGTGGTCGTTAGCGTTGCCGTTCATCCGTAGCAGTCCTGTTATGTTGCATCGGTAGTTCAATCTCTCCACGCGGCTGCTCAACTTCTTCGTGCGGTCCAAAGATGAACAACGCCTACTGTAGGTGGGAAAGAGGGGAGAGAAGGATGGTTGGACTGTGCACGCTGCTCCGTCCCACAGATTGTTGACGTTATTGGTGCGCATTACTCTTGCTGGAAATGCTGTTTCAAAAAGAATGCATTAAAAGTGTCGCTGCTCTCAGAAACATTTCGTTTCTTTACTCAATTTCAAGAAGCTATTACATGTATTTATGCTATTCGAAACATGTAGACAATTAGTGGAAATGCTTTGCAGCCATTGGGTCTTGACTTGGTGGTATAAGCTATAATGAAACCACTGCTATAACACATGGAGTGGCATTATCAGATTGAAAAGTCAGCTTTTATCATCAGTATTGAAGGCTGTGCCTTTAAATATTTGAGGTCAACATCAAGAGTTCTAGGTGACCTTCATTGTTTAAGGTCAGTCATATGTGACCTCCACTGTTTATGGTCAGCTATAAGTGACCTTCAGGGTTTAAAGTCAGCATGAGTATTTGAGTTAAGCCCTATGTGACCTTCACTATATAAGGTGAACGTCAGTATACAAGGTCACCCATACACGACCTTCAATGTCTGAGGTCAGCGGCAGCTCTAGCGGCGTGGCGTTTGCCCAGGCAGCGAAACAGTGGGCCCTGTGTTCCCTCGGGGACGCACACTAGTTGCCAGTCACAGAACATAAACTTGTTGCTTTCATCGCAGTAGTCGATGTCGAGAGCATACATCCACTCGCCAGGTGACAGAGCTGTCCACTTGTTGAATGGCTGGAGCGAGCTCTTTAGGAGACCATCCGTCGTGAAGGCTAGAAAATAATAGTAGGCAAGAATAAACAAAATTAGGTGAAGGAAGTTAAACTCGAACATATCTTGATTGCATGGATACATAATTGCAAATATTTGAATATAATATTAATAATTATTTACTAGAGAAAGTAAGTATCTCTATAGCAGAAGTAACCCTGAATATAAGTCAGTTCAGTGACACATCGTTAGAATTTATTATAATTTGCAACTGGTCGATCGTGCGATAAAACGATGGCCTGTGAAATGGCGTCGCGTACCTATGCAGAGCTTTGTGTCCATGCAAGCTCGCTTCAGCGCGTCGACGTTTCCGCGCAGATGTGGCGCCACCATGTAGTCTCTGCCGGGACTCGCCATCGCCTTGTATCGCAGCCAGGTGGCGCTGGCTTTCATCGCGTTCAGGTCGACGCCATTAAAGTAGTCGGTCATCTCGTCGCGCCGTTCCCAGCTCGACTTCGCTCGCCGCGAGTCGTAGATCGCGATGCAGCGGCCGTCCGACGTCTTCCGGTACTCCCGCTCGCACTCGCAGTGGTACGCGCTGGTTTCGAGGTCGGGAACGCAGCGCGACCTAGAGTAGATGAGCAGTCGGCACTTGACGCGATGGAGCATAGCGATGATAGGTGGTGTAGTGATTAGTAAAGTGAGTGGGTTCATTAGCAATTGCTGGTTGCGCTCCAGAATCTAGATGGGGGGAGGGTGTTGTCAGAAGGATCTTAAGTAGTTATGGCATAAGTCTAAGATGTTATAACTTTTTATACCACCGCAAACGAAGTTTGAAGGGGGTATATAGGAGTCATCTGACTGTCGGCCAGTCAGTTGGTCGGGTGGGGAGGCGGGCGGTCGGTCCGTTGCAAAAAGTTTGTGGCGCAAACTACTTCCACAGTTATTCCAATGAAACTTCATACACTTGAAATTCAGATGTTCACTTAGATGTGCGTGACATATTTTGTGTGTGCATCGGTCAAGGCGTTGTCATGGAAACCGTATCTCATCTTTGATTATACCCCGCCGTTGCAAAAAGTTTGTGGCGCGAATTACTTCCACAGTTTCAAGGGATTCCAATCAAACTTCATACACTTGATCATAATGAAGGGAAGATGTGCGTGACATATTTTGTGTGTGCGTCTGTCAAGGCATTGCCATGGAAACAATATCTCATCTTGAAGGTCCACACCATGACCTTCCATTTTCCCTCCGACAAAGCGGTATTGCGGGGGTATTAATCACTATCAGTGATAGTTCTAATTAAGTAATATGTCGTGCAAAATGTATGACATTTTAAACGAAAAATATTCATAACTATTTTTGATATTTCGGGTTACAGCTTCTGGGTTGGTAGGATGGCAGACTTTCTGCCTCAATCACTGACTTTTCCCCCTTTCTCTCTCCCCCTCTCTTTCTATTTATCTCTCTTCCTCGCTCTCTTTCTCTCTCTCTCTCACGGATATATATTATATATATATACGTGTGTGTGCGTGCGTGCGTGCAGCCTTATCAACATGTCACATCATTACATACCTGGCATCACAGTCGTGCATGTCAGCGCGGCACGCGTCTACCTCGGACACATACAGACCCTCGTCCTCCCCGTCGAATGCCGTCACCCACTCCGCCGGCGGGCGCACGTTCTCCCGCAGCCGCCCGTCCGTCGTGAAGGCGACGCACTCCTCGTACCACAGGCAGACGCGCGCGAGCGCCGCCACGTTCCCTGCCAGGTACGGCAGGTGCACCAGCCCGCCATCGCGCGCCGCCAACGGGGAGTCCGCGCGCGCGTGGAACGTGAAGTTTCGGCGCGAGGCGAGGTCGGGCGTGCGCACGCCGTGACGCGTCGCCCAGGCAACGTACGACGCGCGGAACGAGCCGTCGCGCGTCATCTGCTGCCGTGCGGCGGCCATGATGCGCAGGAAGCGGTAGCGGCGTCCTCGCTCGGCCGATTCCTCGACTAATCTGCGGATCGTAAGATGTGGGGGTTCGTTGTGACGCTGTCTAAGATGCTCGAAGAATTTGACATTATAGTATTGTTTTTGTCCACTTGGCGTCGACCCAATTCTCATTTAATCGAATGTCACAGTGGAACCCTTCCTTGTTCGACTGTTAAAAACTGTTTAGATTGTTCTAGGTTGGCCTGTTTGCTTGGTTGTTTTATTCCGTAAACGGATCATTTTTGTCGGCAAACTGAAAAATAACGGATACGACTGTTGCGTTGGGATCTCTTTGTGTAACGAAACCACGCAATACAACCGAATTTATTTTCGCGGGTGCGCAATCGCTCTAGTGACTAGTCTCTAGTCGTCTGCACGGCAGACAGACTGGCCGCGTTGCCGTTCGACAATCGACCCACCTGTCGTGAAACTGTCGCTGCACGCTGGCGCCCGCGGCCCCGTCCCGCGCGCGTCTGCTCTCGCTGTATGTCCGGAACCACTCGAGGAACTGCGCTACGCCGCGCCGAAGGCCAACCCTCGGCCGATATCCCAGCAGTGTCCGCGCGCGAGCGACGTCGCAGGGGAGGTGTGGCGCGCCGCGCTCCACTTGCGGCGGCATGCGATCGACTCGCGTACTGGCCTTCGTTTGCATCCCCTCCTCTAGTAGTCTGTGCGTGGTGAGAGTGAGGGGGAAGAAGGTTAGATTTGTATTGAAACCGGTACAGCTGGAATCGTTACACGATCAGTCCCAGCCGAATTTCTAAATACGTTAGGTAAGGGGTTCAACATATGGAAAAAACATAAAACTAAAAGGCAATGACTATAAGGGATGAACTTAGGTATTGAATCTGTAGCTGTCCAGATGATAATTATGCTCACTACACGTGCATGCAAGCAGTACATATGATATATACAGTAGACAATGTGTGCAATACATGTGCAGGGTACAGGTATATATGCTCAGTACGTATTTTCTAATTTTCTGGCGTATACTGAACGTATGTGAACTGTGACGTACACTTCATGCACAGTACGTTTGTGGTACATATTGTGAACGGTATATATCTACGGTCCACGTTCGGTTGTGTACAATACACATGTATGGTGCCTGTTTTGTACAATAAATATGTATGGTAACCATTGTGTACAATACACATGTATGGTACCTGTTTTGTACAATAAATATGTATGGTAACCATTGAATTTGTGTACAATACATATTTTCAGTACATATAGTGAACAATAATAATGAGCAGTACATTGTGAACAATACATATTTACGGTACACGTTGTGTACAATCAAGAGTAGATAATAACTCTTGTTATTATCTACTCTTTGTACAATGCATGCACGGTACATACAGACAGTGCAGAGTATTGTGAGCCGTACATATAGACAATGCAGGATGACATATGCCGAGCATGGTAAGTGAGGGAGGGCACTCACGTGATGAGGTCAGTGACTGTTGCGGACTGACCGCTCGTGAGGCAGAACGCGTCCTCGCAGCTGGCCGGAATGTGGTCAAGAGTCGCCACCAGGGCGGCGCTGACGTCGTCTATGTACGAGTAGTCGACTGCTGCGGTATCCCCCTCCCCCTCCGGCGAGCACAGCTTGACCTCCTCCCCCGCGGCGATGGCTGAGGCCAGCCAGAGGGCGCCTCTGTCCGGACTACCCCAGGGGCCGTAGACGGCGCCCAGTTTTATCCGGATAGCCTAAGTGAGGGGAATACGCTTGAACACGAGTGTCGTTCTTGTGATTTGGTCATGTCGCGTTATCACAAGATGGTGAATGTTTTTATTTTCATGGTTCCTGACCCTATTTGCCGAACGATAG